ATTCGTACTTTTCGACCTTTGTTCTGTGCTTGATAAGCAAAGAACAAAGCGGAATATTTAATGTTTTATTTGCTCAAGAAACGGATCATACTCTTTCTTTTTCCTTCCTACTCACTAATCCTCAAATATAAATTCTACAAAGTTAAAGATTGCTGAGTGTATCATGCTAAGATGTATCAGTGTTTTTAGCATGGACTAGAGGAGCTTTCTTGATCGACGTTTTGAATCTGAAACACTCAAATTAAACCCCATCTACCATGTTTGCTTTCACAATGAGATGCAATCAAGGCATATGTTTGTGAACGTAGTGATGTCTCCAGCCCCGAGTATTTAAAAAAATGATATGAATAACACTTTTAACATTTGTAAACAAACAGAGAATAAGTAGAAACGAAAAATATATCATTGCTTTAATTTCAATATTGTTCGAAGCTTCCTTTTAATAAAATGAGTCCCTGCGGCACGGCTGTAAATTTTAAAGCATTTCGTTTAGTTGTTTTGGGGGTTCTTAATATCCCTTCTTGTAGCCTCTAGCAACCCACTCCCGCAGAAGCCCAATTAACTTAAGTTTAAGTTCAAAACGTCTAAMAATTTTATCAGTAAAAGACTACGATATAATCGTTTGAAAATGTCAAAAAATCATCACTGATTTTCAGTATTTTGAACCACGCACTTATTGTCAGTACAAATGCAAAATTTCATGGATTTTTGCCGGAGGGTCTTTAAATTAAAAATAAATAACGTTTTKTATTGAGGTGAATAAGGAGAAAGCTGTGAACTTCTTTACACTTAAGGTGTTTCAACCTGAAACCACACTTGAGTAAATTTTCAATTCAAMTCATTACGAAAAACAAAAATAGCCTGATTGAATTTCTTTTCAGAAGGATCTGAAACTTGCATGTAGTAAATTTGACCCTACTGATTAAAAAGTCCTTTTAGGGATCAATAGTTTAGTGTTTAAAGTTTCTTGTTAGCCTGATTGATGCGAACTCAAATCCGTCAGCATTAATTCTGTGACCGAGTTGTTTTTATGGCACAGTAAGTTGGAAAGGATGTGTCATTCAATATGGTAAACTTGTGAATTAAAATTAAGATATGCATGTCAAACTGTTTTAAAAGAAATGATATCTAAAACTGTCGCAGCAGTCTTTCAGGATTCGATTTGACTTATCAAGAAGGAACATACTAGCCCTCTTAAAACGATATCTTCCTATCGAAGTCMCTGTAATCCCTGTAAATTGAAGTTTGACGGTATGGCTGTATTCCAATTTTAATCCTCTCTGAAAAATTGTGTGATTTAATTTTGGTTCATTAAAGGCAAAACATGTAAAAATGCCTAAAAACTACCTATTTGTTGTTTTCTTGCACATTAAAAAACCTTAAGTTGTTGTCCTTAAACTTAAATTGCATTCGCATGTTATTGACGGATTGCTTGTTTTTTTAAAAATGTGATATAATTGGAAAGTGATTAAGACAGAATTGCGTTTTCAAATGACGGACATTCTTTTATTTTTCATTATGATGTTGAAAAGGTTTTTGTGTCGACTGCAGAAATGTTTAGCGATATATAGGACGAACTCACTTTCCTTTGATACTGTTCGCGTTTTCAACTTTTCCGGTAAAAAAATATTTTCCTCGGTCTTATGAAATAATATTTGTACTAGAAAAAAAAAAGTCATTTTCAACATTAACTGAAAATTATGTTAATTTAGTTGACTTTTTCTCTTTGATATTACAGTGAAAAAGAAAACATGAAAACACCACTCTTACTTGACTAAAATGTACGTATTCTTCAATTAATGGCTGCGCTTGAAGCCACCACGGTTAAAAACCTCGGCGACACTCAACAATTATTTATATTTTATACCTGTTCGTTGATTGAATTCATTGAAAGGGCCTTTTCGACTCCGTTTGAAGATTGTAACGTTGCTCCCAACGCACTGCTATTATTATTCATTGGTTGTGTCTCCAAGTCACTGGCTGGTWTAAACTTTTCTAAGCTAGATCTGGTACCCATATGAAAATCGCGTCTGTTTTCTCAGCACTTTGGCTGCGATTCGCCAATAGCAAGCCTCTAACTGCGGCTACTCAATGTATATTTATTCATGCAAATGTTGGCTCGATCAAGTTAGATCCTTAATGGTGGTTTCTCGTCGAGTAGAAGAAAAGCGAGACGGTTACCAGGTGTTCYTCTCGCAAAGATTAATTAAATGGATTCCCGAGAAGTTTCAGTATATACCCTATGACCGGGTTCCATTAGTTTTTCTTTGTTCGATTGACAGCTATATGACTACGTCATATTTTTGGAATAAATTAATTTTCACTCKCACTTCAAACACTTATTTTCAAATTCTGGATGTTTTGTGAATCAGTTTCCTTTGTTTTGAGGAACGCCGATTGATTTTATCAACACAAASCTGAATCTTAACGGTTTATTGTGGTGACGTCTTTTGATATTACCATAACAAACTTATTTGTGAGCGAATACTTTCATTTTTTTTCAACTGAAAAGAAATCATTATGCTCCCTACTTAGCACACAAATCCTCTGAAGTCCCTATTGTTGAGTAAACACAGAAAATTGTCCGCCTGCAATGTTATGCCAAAGCGATATTTTTTTCTCAGCTTATTAAAACTTGACATTTTAAAGATTGGTCATATTTGCTGGATATGACACGACTGTTCATTCAAATGAATAACAGTTGGTTAAGACAATGAATTGGAACATGAATTTCGTTCAGAATCGAGTTTCGTGTCAAAAATAAGTAAAGGACAGTTGGTAAATATACGGCGGGCTTAATATAAACCAAGGTTTAAATTAAATTTATGTTTTTGTTTGTTTCGTTTTAATCGCCTTTTTTTTATAGGCATGATCGAATTAAACTCTATTTTTTCTCAATGTATACGATAAAACTTGGCGATAAAAATGGAGAAAATTAAGGATATTCAGAGGTATCTTGACTTCCTAGAAAAACAGCGCGCGCAATTTCCGATAATTATTTTGTGGATATAAACGAAAAGAGGAAAAGGAAAAGATAAATGAAAGGAAAAAAAAAGAAAAGTTGATTTTTTACATTGAATGCGAATATGAATTCTACCTCAGAGCAAGAAATTGCTAGTAATGATAATTATAATAAATTTATTGATTTCTCCACCTGTTTTTCAGAAACAATTACTCATGATAAAAGGGCCGATATGATTAATAATGTTCTTTACAATGTTATTGAAGTTTTGTTTCAAACTACTAAATGTTGTAAATATAGCCTGAAAGTGTCCATGTTTAATGACGTTAGCAAAATCATGCCCTGGCAGCGATCTTCTTTTTGATCTTCTTACAATCAATCATTCGTGAATTTGACWATGATTTGACCAACTCTGGTTTCAGCATCAGCCAAATTGGCTCGCAGTGTGAGGCAACATAGTGTGCTTATATGGGTTTATTTCATCCAGAAGGTGTTTCACAATATAACTCCTTTTCCATTGGTTCAAATCTCAGTTCTTGAAATATCAAAAACATAAAAATCTATTCTTTAATTGCTTATCATAAAATATCGTAATATCGACAAATGGCTCAATTTAAACACCCACGAGGTGGCCTGCGAGAGTTTGATTGCGATCAATTGCAACAATTATCAAGCCATCGGGGTAGGAGAAAGCGGGATAGATATGTTGGCGGATGTTTGGCTGACGARACCAGCATGGAGCTTAAATTAACCTACTTTTTGGACACTATATGTGAATCTTATGTGAGGCAAAGAGGAAAGCTACAATAATGATTACAATATGATATATAATAATGGTAATGATGATGATATCATTAAAGGTAATTATCCTACTTATACTCCTATAATAGCAATGATAGAGTACAAACATTAAATGTGTGCAACACTTTCCACTATTTACTACAAAATAGTGTTAATTAGCAGTATTTAGTGGTATTTATGTTGCACAGTTTTAGTGTTTGTACTCTATGATRGCATAACATATATAATCAATTAACTCTAAACCAATTTATTCAATCGTAAACATACTATTTCAAAAAATGAAAAATCTTAAAAAAATGATTAAAAAAATTWAAAAAAATGATTTTTTATGTTTTTTTTTCCTTTCACTATCTTACTTAAGATGGCTAATGACATCTGTGATGAATAAATMGACGAGTTTAAACCTCACTGATGGGGTATATCTCATATCAAGCATATCCATCAATGCGGTTAACCGTTAAAAGAAGATTAAAGTCCTATTCTTCTGTACATGACATCATTCTTGAGAAAAACACGCACCAGAATATTCACCTTTACAACTTTTGTGTTGATGCGCGACCCAGAAGATGTATTGATTTGCACAATAAATTGTATGTTGGAACCCGAAATTAATCTAGGGCGTGCAGAACGGTGACGTCATAGTCGCGCTCATTGACTRCTAAAACTCAAAGAAACAACGCAAGTTTGTATYAGAACAATCGACCATATAGACCATAAAAAAGACAATAAAAAATGAAATAGTTTGCAATAGGAATCTCAGGTACTGGTTTTAACGATTAACTAGAAAACTAAAAATCAGTTAGAGACCAGAATTCTGTTAAATAAAAAAATGTATATATATAATGGGGGCTATCATGGCATTATTATTCTTCGGATACAAAAATATCCACGTCTACATGTAGATAATACGAATCGTGTGTATTCACGTGGATATCTCAACAATCGTCTTACAAATTATACAAATATAGCATTGCTGTTTTTTATTATGAAAATTATATTTTCTTGTAGTCAACCGAATGTATGTAATTAGTGCGTCGAATGATTATTTGAATTTCCCGCCGGCACGCGTGGAATGTAAAACGCTCATTGAACTTTCTTACAGAAGAYCTTTGAAGCGAGAAATTCTTTCAYAAAATCTCGACAAATTACAACCGCTTCCACAAAACAATAATAAAAGATGAAACATCAAGGTTTATTCTCGAGGGAAATCATCGAGTTTACAGAAGACCTCTCAAATATGGCGAACACGTACACAAATTCTCTTGAAAACTCTTTCAGGAATGACGATGTTTTTGCAAGCCAAATACATGCTAACGAATGYCAAACACTGGTGGAATTCGGAAACACTGGAATWCTCAGCATAAAATCATCGGTATTTAATTACTTTGAGGGGAATTCAGAGCTTGAAGTACAAAGACACTTCGACAAGGCTTTCTTCCTWCCAATGGCCGACTCTCGCCAAATAGGTTAGACAACTTTGAATGCTAAATTTCTTTATTTTCATGAAAAAGGCGCGTTGTGTAAGCCGAACAAAAAGGCGCAATACGTATAGCATTTAGTTCGCTCCAAAACTTATTACACAGTGTTCGCTGTTTTCATAATGAAGCTAAAAGCTATTACTTTTGGAAATGAACGTTATGAATTATACAATTGTTCCTTAAGAGTGCATACTAGTAATRATAGTCTTTAATTCTCGTTATATATCGTTTTCACAGCGGCATAAAACTAATGCAGTAACCAGTCTGGCGTCTAGAGCTCTGTGACTTAGTGTTCATGTATCGCAGCCGCGACCAATTGACGCTGCTTTCGGAATCAACAATACTCAACTTAGCTGACAAAAGATTTGCCAATACACACCGCAAACGGCGCTTACACTGTTTCTCCCGCAAATGTTGGATCTTTGTGTAAATAGTCGGACCCGCTTGAGCCAGGCCAAGCGCCGCCCCAATGAGGCTTATAATGCTTAGCGGATGCCCACGGGACCATCCAACATTTAGCTATTTGGCCACATCATTTTCTATGACCGATATCTTGAATTGAATTGAATTTTTTAAGACGTTTTACCAAGATAAAAGGCTAGTCAGCAATTTTGCTCTCTTTTTTTGAAATTAAAACTTAAAACGTTAATTAATSATCCAACATTAATGAATTTTTCGCTGAACTCGATCCAATTATTTATCTTATGCTCTATTCAATAAAAGGAAGCTTTCCAGCTGACGCCGAGTTAGGGAGGGGAAGTAAAAGTTAAAAAGCCYAAGGCATCATCTGTTTAAGTGGTTATAAACGTATCATACTTAATCTATTTCATTGCAGRACCATTCCCTCTTCCCATGAGAGAACGCAAACTCCCGCCATCCTTTTGGCGACAAGATTTGACGTCATCAGCTCATTTCCGTCACCCGATGACGCTGAATGTCAATCACCACAATAATGACATGCATGACATTCATCAACAGTCAGGATATACAGGGGTTTTGAACCTCGGCCAGGCCACCGAKACAAGACTTATATCMTATGCAAAACTCCCATCGTCTGTGCTGACTGCGACTGCGCAGAATGTAAAACTCACACATGCGCAGATGAATGACAGGCCGAGGTGCTCTCTTGTTGATGCAAAAACTGTGTATTATTCGTATGGGCCCAGAGTGGGTCATGGCTTCAACCCACGATATAACTTTATGCTAGTCCAACCTGATGTTAAGCCCGAGTTGCCTCTCGTGCATGGACAACAGAGACGGAATGGTAACAAGAAAGGATAAAGGGCGGAGTCGCATTTCAAAGGMGTTCTTGRGCTACATCGTTAACTACTCATAGTACTATTGCCTGTTCACGGATTTTGTGCGATGTATATTGTTTTTCTCATCCGATTTTGAAGAAATAAAAACTACGGTTATTGTATGATATAGTCCGTCAGAGTCGGTCTTTGCCTTCGACTGTGAAAGAAGAGGCACTTACTAATTAAACAATAGAGTACCCGAATCGAGAGCACTATGCACATTAGAACCCTTCCGCAGGGGGCACTCTCGCGTCATGTGGTCGACTCTCTATCAATGCGAGCGCAGGAAAATTTGTCGTTGAGTCATAACAGTAGTGGTCATCAAGTCAGTTCYCTTTTATTTCACTACGAACAAGTGCAAAATGGGTAGGCATCTTTTTCACTGTCGAATGATAACCACTCTAGTCAGTCTGGCTAATGAACTTCTACTAGCATATTTATAAGATGAGTTGCCATCCACAGTCGAATGGAAATCACTCTAATCAGGATGCAGCAATAATCCAGTTTCGAATTCTCCAATGCTCTGTGTTAGCCTCATTTGTGCGCAAAATATTCCTTATTGTGAGCGTAAGAGATTTCAAATCAAATTTATTGTCTTTCTTCAAAAAATTCCATGCGTTTTCTCGAGCTATCAATGAAACAAAAGAATGTGTTACTTGGTTTTGAGGCTAACACAGAGCAAACCAGAACTCGAAATTGGAGTATTGTCAAGCATTGATACAAACATGGATTTTTTTACCGTTTCGGTTTTGTATTGATTTGTTCCACTGAATCAAATCTACACAGACTTGAGGAATTGGTTTAATATAACTGGTTTGTTCCCGTATTACATCAAATGCATGAATAAAGAACAAAACAATTTTTAGTTTACCGCTAGTTCCCACCAATTTTTTAATTCCATCGATTCTTATTTCTACATCAATTTTATTGATTTCTTATTTCGTATTATATATATATTTTTAGAAAAAGTTTACCCAAAATATAATTTTGAACATGGCCCAGAATTCTTTGTGTCAATGATGTATCAAGCTATGACGTAATAGCACTACAAAGAAGTACTATGGCATCTGCACGTTAGACAGGAAAAGTTGGAAATATATACGACTGCAAAAACTGAGCATTTTTAAGTAGAATTTACAAAAATTAGTAACTCAGTGAAGGTGAAAAAGTAAATATAATATATATATATATATATATATCAGCTATGCATCATGCAATTACTATTTTAGTTTTAATGTTCGGTTTTCACTTTACTTTCCCATCTATTCGCTTCCTTATATAAACATATCTTTCGTGCATTTGTGTCATGAAATCGTCGTTAAATTTGTCCCCCAAACAGACAGTGTGTTTTAGCTTTTCTTCCTTCAGTTCAATGGCGTACGCTCCATGCGAGCCATCRAGYACAAAAAGTTCATTTGCAACGCTGTACGGWCGCAAGTAAGCGTTCTGTGCCACGAGACCTGTGAATGCATCTTCTCCTGCTTGGACTTTATTAGTTTCCTTTGCCTTTCTAACCAATCGTGGAAGGACATTTGAAGAAAACAAATAAAAGGATCCCAGACAGTATTTAGACAAATCAAGYTTATCAGCAACTTTAGTTTGATTGTTTTCAATGATGCCGTCCACRTCAGCATCAACTTGTTCATCGTACTCTCCTTCRATAGGGTGTCTAAATACCACATAGCCTGCATAGAGCTCTTTAGGTAGATTACGATCAGTCTGCAACCAGTGAACCATTCTTGGTATATTAACATAAACACCGTCTTCTACTTTAAAAACATACTTCGTTTTGACASTTATTGTCCATTCAAAAGCCTTCCATACTTTGTCAACAATATTTACATACCCTTCATCAACTTCAGGTCGAAATATGTCGCCTAAAACTGACGCTTCTTGGACTATACGTCGGTTTAGCCTCTCTTTTCCACTAAGGCCGACTAAAAATACACAATTACTACGTAATTTTGGCCATTCACGTCTTGTATATAGTGACTGTGCAGCTTTACCATTCTTATTTGACCCTCGCCAAGTATTCGCCCAGGTTGTACGAATTAAGTGTCTACGTTGGAAGTTTTCAGGAACAGAAGTCACTAGGAATAAAACAAACATTTCTGGCACGGCGAAATCTGGATAAATGACCGAAGTAATGTTTTCTTCATCTGTATCCATGAACGTTGTTCCATTATTACGGAATTGTGGGAAGACTTTGAGGAAAATGTCTGAAGAGTGCTTTTCTAGTTCCTTGCCTGAAAGTAAGCGGTAGGCTTTTACCCTTTTAGTAGAGGTGGAGCTCTTTTTGCCAAAGAAGGTACGAAGTACGACRACTTCTAAAAYGACAATGATTATCGTTATCAACGCGATTTTTTTCTTGGGAATATTGAACATATTGGAGTATTGTTTTGAAGTTTGAGGACTCTGTTTGTCATGAAAAACGTCTCTAAATTCTGATCACTGCACTGTGTTCCTGATGTAACTCGAAACCAAAAGTTAGTTGAAGGTTTTTGCGACCATAATTTCACGGCTTAAATGTGAATTCTCCTATACTTTTACCGACTGTTGTACACATTGATGCTTCTTTGGCAAGATTTCCATCCGACTGCTTCAGTTTAAATTCCAGTTTGACAGTAATTTGCTAGGCAACTATTTAGGGGATGTTTACAACTTCATATAAACTTGCTATTGAGCTTTCCTCTACTGCACTTGGTGGGTTTGAAGACTTTGGAAACAACAGTTAGGTAACGATTTTTAAGTTTTCCAGTTTTGTAAAATGGCGGGTCTGTTCGGATGCTGTGATGCTTGGCTGATTTGCATTTGGTGAATAAATTGAATATTTTTAGGCATGTGTTTGTCATGCATCGCTGGTTCTTTTTTAAAAGTTTGACATTCATTTTTTTGCTGTCAGCTAACCAAAATTCAGATCTTGTTGCGATTTACAGAGTTGCGTATACCAGATATACGCCCTGCACTTCAATCTTCACCGCAATGACATTCAATCTCTTGAAACGCATGAAATTGTTTATGGCGAATCAAAATGTGCAACTGTCTTTCTAGCAATTCTAGGGATGATTTTTTCCTGATTGCACACAGCTGTGGCAMACGTTAAATTACTTCAAAGTCTTAGCTRCAAAACAACAGTCGAATTAAATCGCATTTCAAGTGGGAAGAGTGAAGTCTGGTCCTGGAGTTTAAATGTTCGTAAACGAGGTTGATGCAATGTTCAGAAGAAAACTTATTACTTACACCATAGTTAATATTAACTATGCTTACACGGAATAAATGATAAAATATATAAGCGATGTTTTCTATTTAATATATATGCAGGTATTTAGAAAATGTGAATGCAAAAGAGATATTATTAAGTAAAACTACGAAGTAAACATGGGATTTTCAAAAGCCCGCGCAAAGTAAAATATGCGTAACTACGTAATGGGCGTCGATTCGTTTCTTGTTAATAGATAACAATAAGATCTGCATTAAACTTAGAACAATATTCAATTTTTTATTGCACTCTGCTACAAGAGAATATTTCCAAAAAGAGCTCATAGCTTCACACACCAACATACCTTTACCCAATAATAATTATTTAGTAATAACAATAAATAATAATATTAATAATTAGATAAATAATACATTTTATAATTTTGCCAAGGAAAAACTTATGTTATGTTAGTTTTTGTAGTATATTATAATTGATCTTATTGTTGAATCAAAAGACATTTACTTTTGACAATTTTTGCAGGAAGCCATAATTTTCGTTGGGTCCCATTTAGGCTCCTCCATCATCATTCGTTTGCGATCTACAATGTTCTCAAACATCACTTTTTCAAGAGCAGCYATTCTGCCAAACAATATTTCAACTTTTTCATCTGAACTTAACTCCAAAAAGTGTTTATTGTTTCGGATGAATTTTGATGTGCAGAGTATGGTCTTTTTTTTGCATTCTTCCAAAACTGTCTCCACATTGTATTTCTTGGCAAGGCAGTAGAAATGTAGACTAGTTTTCTTTGTCAAATTGGAGGTAACAAACTTAGTACACATATCTTTCACTTGCTCCATTTGGTACTCATCAGCCAATGCAAGAAGAAATCCAATTTTTTTATCTATGAAAACAAAATTCCTTTTTGAGCCTTGACTATAAATTTGTTTTCTTTACAACATAAAATATAATAACAAAAATTGACAAGGCAGTAGCATTTTCACTAGTGGTGTAACAATGCATCGATATATCACATAAGTTGATGTCAAAGCTGCGACAGCATTAATGCATCGGTTGTAAAATTACACTATCAATAGAGCGGATTTCGTATGAGTGGGACACCGTTACTGCATGGTTACCGCACAGTTACCGATCTTGGCCTGCACAATTTTGGTGAACCAATGGGGCACTAGAATTTGGTTACAGTACGATTACGGTCACAGTACAGTACCGTCCGAAAAAACAAGCCAGAAAAACAAGGCTTGATCTTCTTGTGCTTATCTCATGCTGATGCTCAGTGAGAACGGAACTGCATAGGCATAAGCATAGCTGGTACCGAAATAATACGCTCATGCGCATGCTCAATGTCTTATGCTTATGTCGAGCCATTCTCACTGGCGCATACGATTCTCATGCTTGTGCTTATGCCTATGCGCTAGTGAAATCCACCCTTTACCCAGAGCTTACCAAGGAGCTCAGAGATTTGTTGGAAGGTCTCTATTTATGGTCCACCCTATAGCTAATGAATGCATCTATAGACAACTGGCATGTGACGTAAAAGCAGCTCCATCTGGAGGACAAAATTATGGTCCCCCCACTTAAATACCAGGGTAATAAGCTTTTAACAATGTCAAAGTATTTCCTAGTTCTTAGACACAAATAAAACAATCTTTAGGTGTTAAAACAACTTTCAAGTTACGTCACACTTGGCCATCTTGGAGGAACACACAATCAAAGGAGGGTAAACACAATCAAAGTCCTCAGTAGACCCCTGGGTTGGAGGCATGGTCTCAATTGATTGACACCACTTACGGAAAACAATTTTTCTTACATGACAAAGGCTATCTATTGTCTCTGTTGGGAAGGACGGTAATCAAATTCTATAAACAAGGAAATTTTTTTCCCAATGGGGACTTAGTAGATTTGGCCTGCAGACATCGCCGCCATGTTGGATTAATATGATTTAAATGAATGGGCTTTGTTTTCAATCGCTCAGTTGAGATGAAAGACTAATCGAACTAGTCAAATCTACGGCATAAAGACACTATATTAAACTTTAACTTACCGGTCACGCTGCCTTGTTTGGAGTACATCAAATTCAACAACGCGTCGATCTGCTTTGCACTCTTTCCTGGTAGCGGGATTTCAGGAGCTGACCTTTCTCTGAACTCAGACGAGAACATTCGCTCAAATACGGGTGACCACATAGAAAGGATGGCCTTGTGGACGTGAAACTTGCGATCTTCAACGAGCAAAACAACATCGCTAAAATGCCAAGGACTTGTGAAGTCGATTTTGTTCTCATCTTCCATGTCGAGTTTTCGTTTCTTAGGCTTAGGAGCGGGTTTAGGAGTAGTTCTATCAGCCATACTTTGAGATAAGATGGTTCCCAATCAGAAATCAGACTCTGAAATGCTGACTTTAATCCAAACTCGTGCACAAAGCGCGGGAAATTCTGTGTGATGCGGTTCTACTGGGATCCCTGTGGATTTCTCTGCTTGCTAATGGCCTGGGAACCCGGTTGCGCTTTGCGACTACTACTCGCGCTCGACTGATAGACGACGTACTGATATAGGAGATATAGGTCGATATACACGTTAGAAAATTCGAAGTTGGATCAACAAGTTGCCGTAATAGTGTTGTGGTTCTATTTTGCTCAAGAAAGGACTTTGTACCAATTTGTGCGTAGCAAAAACTAAATCATTTTCATCGTCCTTGACAATCTTCGGCAGACATCGTCATGTCACAATATGTGAACGTAAAGAAACAGAAGCTCGAGTTCGCTTTCTCATCTCCCTGGCATTTTAGTGATGTTATCTTGGTAGTAGAAGAACAGAAATTCCATGTTCACAAGTCTACTCTCTCGATGTGGTCTAAGATGTTTGAAAGAATGTTTGCATCAGATTTCAAAGAAAAGTCATCTCAAGAAATTCCACTTCCGGGAAAGAAAGCTGCAGAGGTAAAGGTTTTACTGACAATGATTTACGACAAGGAAGCATCTGTCAATGGTGAGTAGTAAATGGATAGTATCAGCTTAGGGGTAGACCATTAGAAAAATCCGAATGGGGATGACGTTTGCCAAAACTAACGTCTGCACACATAATCTATTATGCCCCCCCCCCTCCCCCCTAAAAAATGTAATTCATTGTAAAAACTATCATTTTACAGATCACAACCTGGAAATCCTTCTCAAGTTTGCAGATGAATATCAAATGGAAAAGCTTACAATGCTTTGTACTAACTACATGAAGAATACTGTATTGAAAAAAGAAACAGCTATGCATGTTTATGCCTTAGCACGTAAGTTTAATCTAACGGCAAGTTTTAAGGGAGCTTGTATGGAGCTTCTAAAATATTGGGTGATGGCACAAATTGAAAATAATGGCCATTACTCCGAGTTTAGTATTGAGGAGCAATTTGAATTGGTGTCCAATAGAACAAAAGCATTAGAGGCCTCACTAATGCGCTCTGATTCAGATCGTCAAAAGTTGAAAAATTATATAAGCCATTATGAATTCATTGCATCATGTAAAATATGCCAATCTAGCAAAACTGTTTATTGTTATTCAGATTTTTAATCCCCTTAGAGATTAATAAAACAATTGGCACTAATTGCATTACAAAAGAAAGTTGGCAAAGCATTCTGGTAGTTGTAGTAAATGACACCATAATGCAAATCGGCTATTGTAATACACTTACACTAAGCACACTGTTTAGATATCTTCATCTTTTCAGAACTCTATCAGCAGCAATACAATACAATTAGAACAAAGATTTTGATTTGGTGAAATATGAAGACAATCAATACAAAAAACAAAGATATCAAGTAGAACAAAAAACATTGCTCATTTTAAAATAATCCCTCAATTCTTTTCACTAAATCACATGGTTTGTTCTGATGGTAGTGATATACAGTCAACTCTCTTGTAAGCGACCACCTCGAGATCAGGAAAAAGTGGTCGCTTACGAGAGATGGTCAGAGTTTACATGGGAAACAATTAGAACGGGAAATTTAAGAGGTGGTCGCTTAAGGTAGATGGTCGCTTACGAAGGTGGTCGTTCAAGTCAACTGTACTTCTGAATCTTTTATTTCACTATTTGCTTTTCAATGCATTGTGGGATCAGTGTCTGGAGAAATCCGACATGTTCTGTCATTACATTGCACATACAGTACATGATGTAAAAGCTTCAGAGGTCTATTGACCCCTCAAAGAGTTTTAGAATAAACTTAAAAGCTTGTATAGCAGAAATTACATCTTGAGTTTTGAACAACTGGTACCACTGTTGTTAATTTTACTCAAACTAAAGCCTTTTATTTCCCTTTACATTTGTTATTGGCATGTTTAGTTTTACAGTAAGTTGTAATGCAACATAAATATTTCTATATTTACATGAAGTACAGCAGATTTCAAAAATATTAAAGACTGTCCTTCACACATAAAAAATGGGTTTAAATTGGAGGATAATACATTCTACATGTTTGAAATCTAGTGTATCTTTGTTAAAGATTTAGTAATTAAAAAGAAAGTGTTGTAAAGTTGCTATTATCTTGTTCATTAATTAGCTGTGGATGCCACTGAGTGTGTTGTGGCATTTAGTGCTGCTCTTTTGACTGCTTGATTTATGCTCAATTCATGTCTTTTATGCTTCAAGTCAGGTCTTTTTGCGCCTGAAATTTTACAAAACGTATAACTGATGAGTGGTAAACATTATTTTACACATGTATACTGCAATGAAACAGGAATATGTATAGAGGGTTATGAATTATTATCAATGGTATCACAAAGTTAATATAACATATTTTAATATGTTAAAACTTACTTGTGCAAATATGCAGGGCCTGAATCTGGTTTGCATTCAATGGCATAAGCACACTGCAACAATATCAACTGGCAGATTAGCATGGCATGAATTATGTGGACTTATCGATAAGCTATTAAAATAATGTCATTATGTGCACAAAGGTAAAGGCTGAGCAAAAAACACAAGTTTATTGTCAATGTAAAGTCATATTTTTTTACTGATAATGGGGATGTAGCTTACCCTTGTTTCAACATCAGTCCAACATTGTTCATCTTCATCAGATGCTCTTCGTTTTCTTTAAGAAAGCATCAAAATGATAATGTTTAAATTACAGTTGAGACTTGATGATTTGAATTTATAGGAATTATTGTAATCTGAGTTATTTAAAATTTTAATAATAAAATTATCAGGTTAAAAACAAACCTGTCTGGACTGGACTGCAATTGTTGCTTTGTTCTTAGTGTCTCAACTCCAGTAAACTGTACACTYGAGCCACCAGCTATGGTCTCATACACATCACCCTGAAATAATCACATTGCATTACATCATCATTTTTTATAATTGAAATAATTTTGGGTAATTAACAAGTTATATTATCGTTCAAAACTGTTTGTTCCTGGATTTCCACGGGTTAGGTCACATGTAATCCTCTCTTTGGTCAATGTAAAATACCCAATAAAATTGTTATTGTACTTTGTTTGTACTTAAGCTCGCAGTCTACCATGACTCTGTCATTGTACTTGTTTGTAATTTGAAAGCGCTTAGAGCAGATTTGTATAAGCGCTATATAAAAATAAAATTATTATTATTATTATTATTTGTTGAAGCCTCCCTAACACCACTTTACTGGCAATAAAAAGGCTACAATTATTATTCTCTTAAAATTCAATATGCTTTTTAACTTGCTACTGATTGCACTAGCTACCTTGATTACATTAGTTGCTAATTCACCATCTGARTCTTCTTCCTGGTCTAACAGAGCATAGTTTGTTGCCTAACATTAAATCAAACTGAAATAATTAGAAAATAATGATTTTTTTTGCATATGGTCACAGCTGGTGKSCAAAAAACTTGCATCAAATTTTCAAGAATCAAGTTTCAAATTTTATTTTGTATCCTTAGTAGYATACTYACACTGGCAAAGTCTCTGCCTTGTGGTTGAGTGACAGTTCTCTTGTGGCGAAGWACAGGTTGCATTACATTGTCTGTTTAACATGAAATAAGAGGTAGAATATGATAATGGGATAGATCCATTAGTCATACTGAGTTTATTACAAAGGTCTTTAGATGGGCTTCATGAAGAAAATGAAAGAAGGAGTATATCTAACCTGTTTCTAGATTGCAAGGTGGTTTATGTTCAATCCAGCAGTCAGTAGATTTTGATCTTCTGTGTCTTGCTTTCATTGGAGGCTGAAATGAATTGTTCAATCAAAATGGTCGAAATCAATGATTTATGTTGAGTTAATGATGATGACTAAGATATACCTTCTTAGCAACCGGTGGTGGTGATTTAGACCTTTCTGAGTTGCTCCCTGATCTTGTTTGTGATCTTGTCATTGGTCTGTCACTTTTCATATTCTACATTGTACAATATAATGCTTTTAGCTGATTTCTATACATGTAATACTGTTGACGTTTGAATGTAATTTTAATTCAAATGTTGGGTTTGTWTTACCTGTACAATGTCTTTAAGTTGTCGCAACTTTTCTTCTCTTTGCCAGACTTTTGCTTGCATCTCGTCTTCCTTGGATTTCACTCGTTTATTCTGCGTTATCAATAGGCATAGCAAGCAAAAAATGTCAAATAATAATAATAATAATAATACGAATTGCATTCAACAACAAATCAAACTTTATAGTTCTATATAAATTTAAGCATTCAAATAAATAAATAAAATAATAAATAAAGTCTTTTGTTTTGAGAGGGTAGCACGTAATAGTCCTTAGACTAATAAACTTGTGGCCCTCTATATATTCACTCACACTCACTACCTCAACATTCATTATTTTACTACACGACACTCCTCACAGCTAGTTTTTGACTTCAAGAAGGTATCATGGTTATAATTATAATTGTTGTATACTTACACATTCTCTTTCCCATTTATCTTTTTCTTGACTGACCACACCCTTTAGAGCCTGAAAAAAATGGGAATAATGAGAATAAAATGCTTGCATTCTTCATTCAAAGTGTCTTTAGATTTTAGAAAAATTCATGTATGCACTCACAGTTTTCAATTTTAGTTTATCTTGCTTTTCCTTGTCTGCTCTCTTCTTCAAGTCTACAAGCTAAAGGCAAGAAAAAAAGAAAAAAAAATGGAATAAGCACAGAGAATAAAATGACTTGAAAAATCAAGACAGTTTTCAGTAACAGGGACGTTTGTCTCTGTAAATATCTTTGAGTTCAATACCTCATATTGTAGCTCTCTCTTTTCATTTTCATACATTGTAGCTGTTTTCTGAAGCATTTCATTCTGAAAAGAAAAACAATGCAAAATACTTACAATGCATTATTCTGTAATGGGACATTGTAAGCAAATATTGTCACACATAGAGCTACATGTAATTAGCAGGAATTGCTACCTTATGAAGGGCTGCTTTCAATCTTCTTTCAAGTCTCTGGATTTCCCTGTAAAATGTTGGAAATTAAAAGCGATTAATACTATCAATTTTTAGTGCTCTATTTTCAAAGATATTAATTTTTCTTTTCTTACTTATCCTTTTCCTCCATAGTGGCCTTCAAATTACTGATAGCCTACAGACAAAAGAAAGAAAATTTATCAAGGAGGATTTACGGAGGAAATTGTTTTCAATTAACATATACACTAAAACATTGCAAACTTACATTGTTGGCTCCACTGTTTTCCTTCTCAATGTCTAAAAGCTGTGCCCTGAAAATTCCCTCTGTAGTGACAAAAAACAATTGAATGGTTCAATTGAATCCGTATACTGTTTCCAATCCAATATATTAACATTAGTAAGCCTACACAATACATTTAAGATGGTAATACCAGATGTCAAGGATATAAATTTAAACAACTTTATTAATTTGACTAAAAAAAAGTAAACTCTGTGTATATCAAATTCATACGTTTTCTATCCAAATCATCAAGTAGCGTCCGGCGTCTTCTTTCTCTTCCTTGTAAATATTCRATCAAATTGAAAAGGGTATGACTGTCATCTGCAGACGTCAACTGGAATTACATAAATCATATATCAAATAAATCATATATCAATTATTTAATCAAATGAAGACTTAAGCTGATGGAGTGGTGCTAAATTTCCACAGCTGCAGTAGCATCACCAATGGAAAGTAAACATTGTGCATTGCTTACCAAAGTAAGAGGGAAAGGTGGTCCCATGGTGTGAATTGGCTTTGCAATAATTACTGTATCATCCTTGTTTTGTCCTGAATTGGTATCAACTTGCGCCAATGCCTCCCTGAACATCTGATTGGCTGACATTTCAAAAATAGATAAATAAATAAATAAATAAATAAATAAATAAATAAATAAATAAATAAATAAATAAATAAATAAAAATCATCAAGACAAATGAAGTACAAGTCTGGTTCTTTTCAATATCACACTGGATATGTAAGAATATGTGTGAGCAGTATCGACTTTCTCCAATGCAGATCACTGTCCAATATCTTGGGCTTCCTTAGAGAAGGCCAGACAAGAGAAAACTGGAAACCCAAAGAAGGAAAGACAGAGTTGCCTGGGAAGGAACTTTTCAGAGCTGGAAGCCATTGCTGTATTAGAAATATCCCACAAACTATTCATGGTTAAAAATGTAAAAATGGTACCTCTTCTTCTTCCTGGAGTAAGTCCAGTTTCAAACTTGATAGCTGATTGCCTWGCAACAACCACTTCTTGAGTGAGCTCAGCAAACTTCATTACATGCTAATAGAACAAACACATTTTAAGAGTAGTCAGTTTTTTGATAGATGATCACAACCTTTTTTTAAATATCTATCAACTATTCAACTTACAGTAAATTATTAGGTACAAACTCTAGCCCTACTACAGTCAAATGTGGAAAAACACACACACAAAACACAAAAACAGCAACACAAACAGGTACATACATGTAGAATAAGGAACAGCAATCAAGAAGTCACACTTACTATGCTCTCATCATACTCTTCAGCACTTGGATTAAGGCAGACAACCATTCTYACTTTTCCTTCACCATCAAAAAAGTTCTTAAAAAGATGTGTTAGCTTGCTGTCTCTGTAAGGGACAATCTGCAAAAAAACAAAACCATTAATCAATCACATTCAATCCATGAGTCAATTAGTCAGTCAATGAATTATTAATATATCGTTAAGCAGTTAAATTAAACTCTACTACATACTCTGGTTGGCTGTCCATTTTCATAATTTGACTGGTTTTCRCGTAGTATTTCAATACATGTCCTTAGAGTCATCAAAGAATTATTAATGTTTCCTGAAATTACAAACCATACACTTCGGGTTAGAACCAGTATTGTCACTTTTTGATTTGTCATTGTGATAAAGTTTTACCAGCTTCTTTTAGTCTGTCACCACCAGTGTTAGTTCTTTTGGTTCTTTCTGAACCAGCCAGATCACAAAGRGACAATGTTGACACTGCTACTTGGCCACTATCCTGTGAATTCACAAAAAAGTAAAAAATAAAGATGGTATATACATGTACCAAATCAATCTGGTAATGAAATTACAATGTTTTTGACAAAACAACAACTGTATTGACATATCATGATGATGGTTCAAATGCCTTTAGCCTGTGTACATCCGTTTCCCACCCCTCTACCCCCTATGGGAAAAATTCGGGGAGGAAACGGCATTCTCTCCCCAATTTTTTCAGAGGGGTGAGAAACGGATGGGGTGACAAAACGGATGTACACAGGCTACAGTTCTCCCTTTAAAATGCTTTGGACTGACCTGTAAAACCTCTTCACCATCAGGATCCAATGGAGCCTGAACGAGTTTTATTGCGAACACACTGTGGCTACGGCTTGACTCTTGATTCAATATTGTCTGYCCAACACGTCTTCTTTTCTGGCCTTTAAATACAAACAAACAGTTAAATTACCTTTGAATTTAAATCTTATAATTATAATTAGTGTCCAAATTGTAGTTTACAGTCCTCCCTCCCTTTGAAGTTTTTACACTGAATTTTGACGACAAAAATTCGAAGCAATTCAATAAGCAGACTGAAAGGCCTTATTTGGCTGGTGCTYTTGTACCTTTCCAAAACACTGAATAAGCTTCCTCAGTACTCTTTACTTCGACTTCAGTAACTCCACTGACAAACATGTTTTTATCAAAATCTTCTCTCAGATTCTTGGAGACAGGTGGCCTAAGGAAAAAATTATATGGAAACATTATGATAAAATCATTGTAATATTATAGTGTTTAACATTAAAGTACCTAAAGTAACCTGAAGTACGTAGGATTGATTATATAACACAAAAAAGTGTACTCAAAACAATCTCATCAAGATCTTTTACAATCATAAAAATGGAATGGAGAATTATATAATTGAATTATAGGTCCATCTTCCAATCCAATTACTACTTTGACAAGTTTTACATATTGAATCATGTAACAGTTCAAACCTACTTTGGACAAATGAGATCAATCTCAACTTCTTCCAAAAGATCATAGACGTAGTTGTTGTATATCTCAATGTAGGAAACAAACACYGAGTATCCATTGTCTTCATCAACCTGAAAAGTTTTACAATTTRAGATTCAACTTATAATGTGCTTTCAGATTTTAGCTTTCCTTGTGAAAAAGGTATTACTATCATATAAAACATSCRACTCACATTATCAATTTTTCCAGTCTCTGGTATGCGAACCATGTCTGAGWAATCTGTATCCATGTTACCATTTCTAAAACCATTCAAAGGATTAGTTTTAATGCACATTTTTGGTTCATTAATAATAAGGATTATATTTTAAATAGTGTAAAATATTACCTTTTTGGTGTAGGTGCTGATGCCTTCAATAATGCTTCTTTTTCTTTGATTTCTCTGTCAAGTTTTGCATCTTGCTCAGATTGCACCTCCCATCCATTGTTCTTATCAGGTTTGAAAACCTACCAAACATCAAGTTAATTTTACTGATTACAGCAAAGCAATAATTTTGTGACAACTAAGTCAGTGTCAACTTCATCTCTCTGGGTCTATAATAGGCCATGCATCCTAAAGGCAAGTATTTTCTGGACTTGTTATTCACAATAAAATCTAAACATCATGATAACATACACACGATTCTGTTTGTAGTTCTCCTATACTATTGAATATGACATCCAGACATCGTGGTAATAAACCACTATCACTGGGCGTTCCAGTCATAGTGTGAGTTTTTCCAGATCCAGTTATACCATAGGCAAAGATTAGTCCTAGAAGGTGCAAAGGAGAAAACATTAAGGAGGTTTTAAGAGATCTAACAAACTTGGATAATAAGCAGGGTACCCCCATTGTGGTAGTGCTCCAAAGTGGAACTTAAGATATTGAAAGCCCTGAAGCTGGGTGCAATATTAGGTTATCTTGCTTATTGGCCAAGTTTACAGAGAAAAGAACACTTATGTCATTTACAAGGGAATACATGTATATACCATTTTTGCCATGAATAAGRTCATCTACCAGAGGAAATGCCAGTTGGTCAAACAACTCTTTCTGTGTTGTATCCACATCATAWACATGCTTGAATGTGTGTTGAGTCTACAAAAATAAAGAGTAATTCGTAAATCATACTCTTATAAAGATATTTAGTCCTAGACATCGAATGTATGGCCTTTTTGTGGGTCCTTCTTCAAAGGTAGCGTATTAAAATACTTTACCTCAATTCGATGTCCTGATTTGAAMGCTTGAGAAAACTRCAGATTGATAAAAATTTCTAGAGATGAGTGAAAAAGTTCAAAGGAAGTTTTTTATTCATTCAAAACTGGGCATACTTTTGGCGCTGTTAGTTGTAGAATTTTCTTATTTTCATCAATGATATTCACACACGATTCTTCGTCGTTGTCTCCTAGTGGCTTGATTCTACAATAAACCTGAGAAGCAAATAAAAAA